CCCCCCCCCGGCTGTCCCGTCGTCTGCTACGAGGACGACACATTAGTGGTGGCCGGGGGACGGGGTTGGAAACAGGCCAGGGACATGGGGCAACTGGCCCTCGACCAGGTACACTTCATCCGGAGCATGGGTCTCGAGGTGTCTCCCCCAAAAACGGAAGCTTTGTTCTTTCATGACGGGAGGAGGGGAAGACCACTTCGATTAAAACTCCGGATTGGCGGGATCTCCGTGAGGGTGGGCACCAAGATGAAGTACCTCGGGTTCACCTTGGATGGCGCTTGGGGGTTTGAGAGACATTTTGAGGTGCTAACCCCCAAGCTGGGCAGGATGGCGGGTGCGCTAGGTGCCCTCCTGCCTAATGTCGGCAGCCCGAAGAGGCGGGCTAGGCGGCTGTTTGCGAACGTGGTCCATTCGGTGGCCCTCTACGGGGCCCCGATCTGGGCGGGGGAGATGGCCGGGTCGCGGCGGATCCAACAAATGGTCCGCCGGGCCCAGAGGTTTATGGCCACTCGCCTCGCCCGGGCTTATAGGACCACGTCGCACGCGGTCGCCACGGCCCTGGCAGGGATCCCCCCGGTGGAGCTCCTCGCTATGATGTACGCCGTAAATTATCGTACTTGGGAGCTCCGCCGGGGAAACCATAACGGGACACAACTTGCCAGGGCCATAGCCCTCGCTAGGGAGCAGGTCCGTCAACGCTTCCTCGTCCGCTGGAAGATGCAGCCGGAGGAGGTGACGGGCCGCTCCGGGAAGAGAGTCGCCGAAGCCCCGGCCCTGCCTACAGGAGTGGGTAGGCAGGGCACACGGAGATCTCACATTCCGGACGACCCATGTGCTCACCGGCCACGGCTGCTTTGGTGAGTACCTGCTGCGACGCTACTCGCGAGCGTAATTTCGCGAGCGACGGCAGACAGTCGCCTGTTAGCCGCGTCGACAAATTTCCGTCGGCTCCAAAACACGCCGCTAAGATACTCGCGAGAGGTGGGCGCCAGATGCGGAAAGGCCGCACCACCTCGATAAACGCGAGAGCCGATAATTATCACGAAAATTGCGCGTCCTGGAACCGTCGGGACCGGTAGCTCCTATGAGGTTAAAGTCGG